TCTCCGCTCCGGCCGACTCCCCTGGTGGCCCCAGACCCTCCGGTCGCCTTCCCCGCCCGGCTTTCGCCTCTCTCGGCGCCTTACCATCACTCCCACCCGCCCCATCCTCAGCGCTCCCCCACTGGGGGCTCCGGCGGAGGCGCCCCGACCCCGGGAAGGGGCCAAAGCCATCAGACCCACCCCGGCTCGGCGCCCGCGCCGCCTTCCAGCAAAGACTTGAAGTTTGGGATTGATCGCATTTTGTCCGCCGAGTTCGACCCAAAACTCAAGGAAAGCAACACGCTGAGAGGTAGAGAAAGCGACCCCGTGGCTTTACGGTCACTGCCCCCCCTCCCACTCCCATTCCGGCCCGAATACAAAACACACACATCGTGTGTGTGTGTGTGTGTGCATATAGACAGGGAAGCTCCACTTACTTCAGTGGATCTGGACACAAACGCCCGATGGATTGTCGGTCTGTCAACTTGCTGAAGGGTGATGTTTTTATTGTTGTCTGCCTTCAAGAGGCATCTTACTTGTGGCAACCCTTATAGGGTTTTCAAGATACGCGAGATATTTGAGTAGTTTTACCCGTGGCACCCGCCCCCATAAGTTGCCATGCCTGACGAGGGATTTGAACTCAGCTCTCCTGACTCCTGCTCCGTGGCTCCATCCATTGTACCATACCGGCTCTCTGATTTATGATTATTTATGGGTCCCATCGTACTAAAGCCAGGGCGATCTCTGGCGTATGGGTTTACCTATGGCAATTAACAGGGGAGGGAGGGTGGAAAGCAGGCGAGGAGACGATCCTTCCGCCGTGCTAGTCAAGCTGTAGTGTTCAGTACAGCTTTAAATTACACTTTTGTTTTTGTTTTTCCTTTGCCGGCGGAGAGAGGAAACTCGGGCTTTGCTCTTTCTGTTGTTGCACAACGGAAGGAGCTCTTGTGCAATGGAGTTGCCTAAAGTTTCAGAAATTATCAGGAAAAAAAAAGTTAGGCGAGAATCCCCATCGGGAGCGTTATTTACTTGGGAAGTAAGTCCCGTTGATTTCGGTGCTGCTGTCAAAAACCTATTGGTGCCTCTGCCCTTCTACCGGTTGAGTGCGGCGATATCGTCGGCATATTCCAGGCCTCTAACTCGATTCCCAAGGCTGCAGATGTCCTCTTGAGCCCAGTGGGCCTTATTTGTCGCTGGGAAAATGTCCATAGGTTGTACCTGTCGCCTTTGAGTCGATCTTTGCCGCAGGGAGGGGAGAGAACCGAGGCGGCGGCCGCTGGGTTCCTGATGGTCAGACAAGCCTGGGCCTGTATCGGTTCAACCCGTTATCAGGATGCAATAAATGTTAAATATGCGCAGTGATTAGAAGGCGGGTGAATTGTACCCAAAGTAATTTCTTTCCCCCTTTTGTTAAATGCGTCAAGGATTTAATTCCATGAGAGGCTCGTACTTCCCAAGCAAAAGCGAAATAGCTTCGTCATCCAGAGGCACCCTAATGAAAACCAGCTGATTGGATCAAAATCCAGTAGGCCCCAAATCCTAAAACAAGCGCTGTTGCCATTCCTCGACCCCATTTACTTGTTTGCAAAATAAATTAACCCTATACTTCCTTTGGAGATAAATTCGGGCCTGTGGGGTAAAGTGAATATATGCATTAAAAGAGAGGTTGGTAAAATTGTAACTCTCCAGAGTCTGGCGGCACCCTAACGGCCTTTACATTTTATTATGGCTTTAGTTGTCGTGGACTGCGATCCACTTCGCTGGGTGTTGCAGCGCATAAAAGCTTCTGCCTTAATTAATGCAAAAACCCTTAAGGTGCTACAAGAGTCTTTGCTGATTTTGTCGCTACAGAGCCTTAGCAAAATGAATTCTCCCCCCCCCCGACGAATTACATTGAATAAATATGTAACTTTCGACTTGGGAAAAGAGGGACGAAGTCGAGTGCTTACATCGACAAAAATAAGTCCCTTTCCCCGTTATCATGTTAATTCCCAGGCCCCAAATTTCCCGGTGCTTCAACCACTTATCTTTCTGCCAGCCCTAGAGGTGTCGGGGAAGGGGCAGGATGGCTCAAGGTTCTTCCCAGCCGGATCCAAATACCCTCATTGAGGAAGGAACGAGCCTTTCGCGCCCCCCCCCCCGGCAGGTTAAACGGTCTGGTCTGAGTTTCTTGGAAGTTCCGATAAACATCCCTCCAGGCCCCTCAGCTCGAGCTCCACTCCCTTTAACTCGGGTGGAAGCCCCATGCATTCAACGAGACTTGCTCCCAAGTAAGCCTTGCAAGTAATGACGGGCTTTCTCAATCGGTCTGGCTGGGAAAGCTGGAGTCTCCTTGAAGCCAGGGCCCCGCGGAGCCCAGCTTTTCCGCTGTCGCCGTCTGAAGAAGCGAGCTGGACAAACGGAAAGCTCGCCTTGTTTGTTAGGTTTCTGGTGACCCCATGAAGGTTCTGTGGCCCCCCCAATCCTGAATGTTGGCGTCTAGGGAATAAATCTCAGAGTCTTGAACCTCACGGGGAGGGTAGGTGTTTGTGCGCGAGCAGAGGCGGGTGGGAGAGCTTCCCGTTTCGCTCCTGTGCGCGCACCCTTGGCCACAAACGCCCCCGAGCGAGAAGGGAGTCCCTGCGGAGCATTAGCCACACAGTGTCACCGGACCCTCCTTCCATCGGCGGGCTTCCCCCCCCCCCCCCAAATGCATTCAGGGGTCGGCCTGTAAGTCGGTTGAACTTGCTCCGGGTCCTGCGCCTCTTTTCTCTCTGCCTGTAACCGAGCTCTCCTTATTCCTGTGCCCACAGATCTGACCTCCTTATTAAGCACCAGCCGCCCAAGCGGGGTTCACGTCCCTTCCTTACAGCCTCCGGCCGGCCAGTTCTTCGCCTCTCTAGAACCCATTAACGAGACCTCCGGAGTCCTGGGGACTTTAAACACAACCCCACGGAATTCAGTTCAGCACCAGTTTCAGGACACTTTTCCAGGTACAAAGTCTTTTAAAACCCAGCCCTGCCACTGCCACAGCTGAATTCAACCGGGCACCCTAAGCGTGTATGCGAGTGGACTACAACTCCCATGACCCCTCGGGCAACATAGCCAAGATGGTGGTGGGACTTGCAGTCAAATACCACTGTGGGCGCCAGGTTGGAGAAAGCCAGATCTGTGTTTCTCTCGTTGCATTCCTGTGCATCTTTACGTGGGAGTAAGTGCCGTGGAATTCGATGGAGCTTGCTTCCTAGTAAACCTGCGAGGGAGGACTCGAGCGCTTTAATTAGGATCGCCTGGCGCCTCATCCTAACTACGCCACTGGCTTCAACAGAGCTTACTTTCCAAGCAAATCGTTTTAGAGTTTTGGATATGGTTTGAGAGCCGGTTCAGTTTTCAATGGCAAGGCATTTCCAACCCTTTCGGCATATTGGATCAGTGCTCGATGAGAGAGAGAGAAACCTGCCTATCTACCCAGTCTTGAAGCTTGATCTTGGGTGGGCTTTCAAGAAAAAAAAAGAAAGTGAGGATTTGCTGCCCCGTTCCTTATCTAAATGTCACCTCCTGCTTGGATATTTAGGCTTGGAACAAAGTTCCAATGCAATGCACGGGTGTGAACACTTGCAAAGAGATACAGCCGAAGTTCGGGAAGTCAAAGGTTACCAGATAGCTCACCTTCAAAGAGAACCAGTGAATGGGAGGATTTTATTCGAGGGGGGTTGAGAGGGAACCATTTTAAATACAGTAGATGCTTTCCAAAAAGAAATAGAATCCACAGCAGGGAAAGGGTGTAAATAATAATAAGCAAGGAATTACATGGGCGGATGCGGGGAGTGCTTTTATATATATTAGCAGCAGTTAAGTGCTATCTTGCAAACATGGAACACGTGGTTAGAGCTTCCCCTAAAATACCAATGGATCTATTAATAGAATCAGGATCGGAAAGAGGTCTCCTTAAAAGCCCGGCTCTTTGAACTCCCTTTACCTTTAGGCGAGGAGGGGGCGGCGACCAAAGGGGTTGCTTTGCTACCCGGCCAAGTCCAGGCATTTAATTTTCCTTCCCTTCTTTCCTCTCCTTTGTGTTCAACTTTTCAGGTCCTTACGCGGTGCTCACGAAGGACACGCTGCCTCAAACTTACAAGCGGAAACGCTCGTGGTCCCGAGCGGTGTTTTCCAACCTCCAAAGGAAAGGGCTGGAGAAACGCTTTGAAATCCAGAAATATGTCACCAAACCGGACCGAAAACAACTTGCAGCCATGTTAGGACTCACAGACGCTCAAGTAAGTCCTAGGATGTGGTTGTTGTTGTTTTTTCCCCTCCCCTTTTAAAATATATGCCTGTTTCGCCAGTTCTTGTATCTCCACAATCCTCATGCAGAGCTAACCGGAATTTTTTTCCCGTGATTTCTTCCTCCTCCTGTTATTATTGTTGTTGCTTTTCAGTGTTGGCAGCTCACTACAGCAAAGCAAATTCCAGAGGGGTAGGGTAGTGTTATAACTCTGTTATAATCAACTCTCTGGTGCGGCAAGCGTACCCCTAACCAAGACATGCCCACTTTCTGTGGGGCGCCTTAAAAAAACCAAATGCATTAGGCATAAACTTTCCTGGGTTAAGGCCAGGATAACCTGGTCTCCAGCCCACTAAAATATATCTTGTGCTAAGAACCCTGTCCTGTATCCAGAAAGAGAGAAGAGGCAATTAATGTTGGGGGTGGGGGAAGGAACACCTGGAATCCTCCAGCCAGCCTGAAAGTGTCTTTCCCACCCCTACCCCGAAAGTCACGTTCCTGTCTGCTCCGCTGTAAAGTCAAGGGAACTCACAAAATACCACTGGCCAGTCTCCGATCGCTGGTCCCAGTTACAAGTAGGTCTACTGAATTGATTGCTGAAGGGCAAATCCAGATTAGGTAAATCCAACGGAATTAGTACGGCTGCTCTGGTTGAGATTAACAATAGACAACTGACCACTGAGTTTAAGGAGCCTTGAGCTCCTGGCATTAAAAAAAATTCAAGAAAATCTTTAAAATAATCATGGGATTCTACTGCCCATATACACAGGTGGGGTTTCTCCAGAGTTTGGGGGGGGGGATACACTTTTTTGGACTACCAGAATCGAGTGTGTTTTCCCCCCTTGAAGTTATAGTGGAAAAATGAGCTTTCTCGAGGTCTCGGGTTTTTGCAAGGGCCAAGGGGAGCCTTATAATCATCCCCTCCTTCTTGCTTCCTCCCTCCCTTCTTTGTATGGCTCGAATCACGGGTCCCTGTAACGACACTGCTGTGTACGGTTCCTCGAGAGTAAGTCCCAAAGCATTCGACGGGGCTCCCGGCCAAGGGAAGACGGCCTGCCCCCCCCCTCCTCCCCGGACCGGAAGGGGAAAGGCGAGTGAATCGAAGAGAAAAATGGGCCTGGGAAGGAGAGGAAAGGGTGGCTTGAACCTTTCCGTGTTCCTCCCGCCCCCAATCCTTTCAAGCTCGTAAATAATTGCCGTGCTAATACGAGCTATTTTCACATTGCTTCGGGCTTAGTAATGCAGTAAATAACGCCTCGATTTTTCTGAACCAAGTGGAGGCGAAAGGGCCCCGTTAAGTTTAAGTGGAAGATTTATGCCCGTTCCTCTTGGCCTGTTTATTTTGGCTGTTTGTGGAAAAGGACAGCCAGGGCGATAGCGGTTGGCAGGGGAAATGACTACAAGGGATATAAACTACAATGCGGTCCTGATAGGAAAGGCGACCCGAGAAGAAGTGTTTGTGGGGGGGGGGAGGAGGGAGAAGAGATATCTTTCCAGCCCCTTGCGCTCCTTCTGCAGGATTTAAAAGAATCCAGTCCGGATTTTACTCCCCGTGGGGTCAGATTTGGGTTTAATCAGAGCTCCGTCAGACCACAACCGTCAGAATACCAGCTTGGAGGTGGGGTGGGTGGGATTTGGGGAGCTGTAGTTCAGAAAGGAACTTTCCCAACTCGGGATTATTTATTTGCTCTGCTGGATTAGTGACTGAGGAGATCTGGCTATGGAGCTCGAGGTTGGGAGTTCGATGCTCTGCCGTGCGGTGTTTTTTTTTTTTTTAAAGTCCGGTGGGAGAAAGAAAAACAAATGTCCTTCTAACCTGACCCGGTGATGCCTCTCTAGCACATTCCAGCTCCCTTCTGGATGACCAGGAGCCAGCGGAGAAAAATGTTACCATTATCAATATTATCAGATCTCAATCTGGAATTGAATCCCATAAAGAGAGGCGAAAGAACGATTTTCGGTCTCTGACAATAGAATCTGACTTTTAGAATGGTAGTAAATTTTTATCTGTGTTAGAAACCTAACTCATTGATTTCGATGAACTTAGTGCTGCTTGAAATTTTAAAGATTGTACTAGACCGGCTGTCTAGACCGGCTTACTCCTATAGCTGGATCTATTGAGTAATCTCAACCACGTACAGTACAGGATACTAAAAACATATAAAGGAAACATGTGGGCCACAGAGTCAGACCCGCTAGGATTGCAGTCTCAGTATTTCCCCTTGAAATTAAAGGGGTCCGAAAGTGGGTAACTTCGGCTTGATCGCCTGCTTTAGGTGTTGCCACCAAGAAAGGAGAATTTTGGCATAAACTATGCAAGAGACTTACCCAAGTCAAGGCTGCTCCCTTGCCGTTAGGAGAACGTGTTTTTTAAAAAAATAAAGTTATATTTTATCTGTTAAAAATAAATCCCTGCACCGATCAACCACGAGAACTGGTGAAGATATTCAGATGTTATTTTATTTTAAAGTGCCCCTTTTTATCCCGCGTGTAGCCTTGCAGGCACCTGCGCACACAAAGAAGACACTGCTGATTGCCCAATAAATATGTCTTATTTCAGCAAGACCTTTTCCCCCTTTCTTGACGGAAGTTCCTCCGGTCTATAGATTCCAACCTGTTAGCAGTATAAAGGGCTCCACGCGCCAATGAAAAACAATCTCAATGGGCTGGAGATTTCCCCTTGCTTGCCAAAATAAACACACTCCGATTAACACTCCGATCCGGGTCGTGTTTATTTACCTTGGGAGGGTCGGTCCCCCTGATTTCAGCAGGGCACGCAGGTGGGCTGATCGTTAGGAAAATAATAAACCTCCTGACACATCCCGTCGGTGGAACAATTCTGTATTTTACTGTACGGTGTAATTAAGTGGTGCGTTACGCTGTGCTTGGAGCTTCGAGCGAAAACGCAAGAGGAACTATTTCCACGTACTGTATTTGTGGAATATGGCCACAATTTTATACATTACATCTGGAATCACAGCAATGTAGTTATGACGGCAGATCGGTCCAAGGGAAGCAGGGCCGTCGATCTTTCTTCCTTTCCTTCTCACTTTCATTAGTTTTTCTATTTCTTTTCTTCTTTTTTTTAAAAAAAGCAAATTGAAAATAAGTTGGACACATATGCATCTGTTCCAGATTTTTTCCCCTCCTCTAGTAATCTAAATCCACTTTATTTCGAACATTTTTCCATGGAGGGTTCAGGACGTTCCATGCCAGGACCTGTCCAAGAGAGGGATTCAATCCCCGTAGCTGGATAATTGGGATAGCAGCAAAGACTGGGGCTGCGGAGGCTGATTGAGGAAAGAGCGGGGCGGCGGCGGCTCCGATGTAAGGGGTGATTCCTTTGTCGCCGACGGTCTCGACGGACACGCGGCTCCCTCAATGAAAGAAAGGTTGTCCTCTTCGCCATTAGTACACATCGGGTGTACAACTCACATACCGAGAGGTGGAATCATACAAAAATATGCACTTGTACAGAGAAGTAAATTACACTGGTTGAAATTAAGGAGTAAATTACTACTAGAGGAGGCCTATTGAGTCAATGGGGATTTGGTGACTCAGCATCTAAATTTTATGGAATCAATTGGCCTACTCTAGTTGTGACTATTTGATTTAAACCACTGGGTTCAGGTGCATGGAGCTTTTATTACTGTCGGTGGTTGGCATTTTAAACGTACTTTCCCCGTCAAAAAAGGCATGACTTTTTGACACAGGTGCCACATAAAATGTCTGATAGTCCCAAATGTACACTGCAAACGCCATTATGCCGCCCCAGTGTTCATGAGGACTATCATGCTTTGCTTGTTGAAAGTGTGAATGATGAAAAGCCTCCTCTGGCGGTGATGGGGGTGAGGCGGGAGCCACGATTGAAAGTGCCAGGCTAGCCTCCGCGTCGTCTCCCGCCCGGTCGCTAATGCCCCCCTTCCCGCCCCCGCGTGGGTCTTTTCCTCTGATTCCGCTCGCAGGTCAAAGTCTGGTTCCAGAACCGGCGCATGAAATGGAGGCACTCGAAGGAGGCGCAGGCGCAGAAGGACAAAGAGAAGGAGCCGGCGGAGAAGGCGGCAGGGGGCGCTGTGCCGATCGTCGAGGGCGAGACGGAGCGCAGCCCGAGCCGCTCGGAAGGCGAGAGCGAAAGTAGCGAATCGGAATCTTTGGATCTGGAGCCCGGCAGCGACGCGGAACGGACGGAAGCCGGGGCCGCCCCTGATCAGCCCCTGCCGCGGCATAGTCCGGAGTTGCATCAGTCGGCAGGCTCGGAGCCCGCAGTTCACCCCGAACCGCTGCCTTCGGCTCCCATGGGCTTGGACCAAGTCAAAGAGTCTCTGCGATGCCCAGAGCCGGCTTTTTGTCTGCGGGACTCTCCGTGACTGCCTTCGCGGGGGCACTGGCCAGGCTCGGAAGCCATCCTTAGCACCAGCTCCGAGTGATTCCCCCCCCCGCACCACAGCTGACAACGGGGGTGGATGTGGGGTCCTCACCTCTATTGTAGGGGGAGGGCGGTGGGGGTCAGAGGCGAGCTGATCTCTTAACCGCGGGTGGAGGTGGGGGTGCCAACCTCTGCTTGAGGTCTCCAGTTTGGAGCCCAGAGGTAACTGCCCCATTTGTGGAGAATGGGGCGTGTGTGTATCAACCCGGCCGGACTGAGAGCGCCATCCTGCAGCCCCGGTGCAGAAACTAAGGAAAGAAACTGGCGGATTTAGCTTTGGGAAGATCCACACCTTGATGGATCCCAGAGGGTTTCTGCTGGACGCTTTCTGCCGCTAGGAAAAAGATGGCCACGTCTTCATCTCCCCACCCCACGCACTTTGCCAGCCCCAGGTCCACAAAAATCCCTTTCCCCAAAGCTCGGATGAGGTTTTTTTTTGGGGGGGGGACCTACAATTTCTACAATCCACCAGTCAGAAAAAAAAATGTAGGGGGAACATTTTCAAGCTCTTCTCCTACCATTCGTTCACACTGTAAAGCATTTGACCCCAAGTCCATCCCTTCTTTATCCTTCTCAATCCTTTGCCAAAATCTTGCTTTGTCTAATCCGGCCAAGAAATACTGCACTGGAGGAAAAAAAATAAGGGAAGAAATGTAGAGTGTAAATAAATTGTTTGTTAAATTTGTTATGTCCGTTTCCTTATGAGGGAGAGCAGTCCAGATCGTTGTTCCAGCTACAAAAGCCTAATCGGGGATAGCACAGCACAAATCTTTAACTCCCTCTCCTCCTAAACACAACAGATTTCTCCCAATTTTTGTTCTATTAATGCAGAGAACAAACAGAACCATTGTCCACACCAGATAATTAATTTTAAACAACAGATCAATCTGAAATCCCTCCCCCCCCCGTTATGGGAGGGAAGTTTGTGGACCAGTTTGGTTTCAGTTTCTGATAGAACTGAAACATCGCTGGTATTGACAGGTGGTAACTTCCCTTCTGGCAGTTCTAAACATTTGTCTTAAGCCACAGTAACTTTACTTACCCTGCAGAGAATCTGCCTTCTTCCCCCACTCCTTCCCAATTTAATATATCCAGTAACATTAATAGCTTTAAATATAGTTAAAATACTCTATACAAATATAATGTCAATATAATTTATAATTTAAATATAATTAGAAGCCACATGATTAATCTCCTAAAAATGAAAGAAGCTGATCCTGAAGTTTAATGGGGGGCGTTGTAAGGCACCTTGAATCAAGGAAAGGCAAAATACAAACATGTGAAAGAAAATATTAAGTAACAATACTCAGTCAACCCTGTGTATACTTCCATCCAGATTTGATTTACATTTCATTGGAAATCACACTTTCAACGGGGCCATCGCAGGTAAGAGTCAATGGGGTTTCAGCTGTCAAATATATATCTACCTGAGTCTGGGATTAACTCTTATTGACTGCTGCAGCAGTGGGGTTCCCACCTGCGTTTGAGGTTAGTGGAGATGCCCTTTGAATAAATATGTTTATCTTAGGTCTGTCGGAGGTAGAAGGCTTCATAGCCTCATTAAAGCTCCTAGTCTTTTCAAGGAATCTTTTAAAATGATGGGCCACTTAAATTGCAACAAAAGGTAAGGTGGGAAGGAGAAAGAAATCAAACTCAAAGTAGATGGGCCCAGATAAGGAACAGCTTCTGACAGCACTTTACTCTGACACCCAGCTGTCAGGCCCTCTGGAGAAACCATGATTGTAACTGAATATGGAGACCTAACACAGAATCATTAAGAGGCAATTAAAATAAGACTGCAGTTCTAGACATATTTGAAAATTAATCCCAGTAAAACAAAAACTAGGGAAATACACTTTGGAGGAACTTTGTTAGGGATGGGTGCATCCATGTCAATTTTTTCTATCAGAACCTTCACATCTGGGACAAAGTTTATCTGTAAACCAATTCATTTTACCCTTTCTCTGCCCCTATTTCCCTACCTACATGGGCATGTTTCATAAACCTGTCTTAAAGGCAACCTGAGAACATTGCAAACAAGCAGGCTTTGGATTCTCAACTGTCAAACAGTTATGGTCTGTGAAAAAATAAGTGCATGGCAAAACAGAGGTTTACCTTAAACAACTTAGTTAAATGTTTCAGCTTCTGCTTATCTCAGTAATGCAGAGATTTCCAATGAGCACTGTGAACCAAAGCAACCATTTGTGAGGGCATTTACCAGTTAAAGCCTTAAACCATTAAGTTCAGCAAGGTTTGCCCCCAGTAACTGTGTATAGGATTGCAGCCTTAGGAGAGAGAGGATGATGGTAATGAATATGGTATGTGCAAAGATGTAGCATGTGCAAAAGAAGAGATCATAAACATGTCACAAGATTAGTATCCATAGATGTGCTTTGAAAATAAAGGTAAACTGCAATCTAGTAGTATATACACTTCCCCTCTGTTTCACTGAATACAGTGGGGCTCCCTTCCAGGTGAAAATGTATGCAGTTGCACAAACAAGTGTTGTCATTTCAGGTTATATACATGGCATATTAGGTGTCTTGAGTCTATACATTCACATATGCTCTATTTCTTATAGGAATGTGCTGGCTGCTGTGTAGGAAATATTTCTAAACCAGAGAGATTGTGGCCATCCAAACTACAGTATTTTGAAAAAGTATCATTCATAGGGGCATGAGTTAAGACAACTGGTTTGTGGTTTTGAAATTTTATAGGATGGTCTATCACTGTTATGCCCAGACCGTTGGGTGTGGCAATCCTAGCACCTGCATTTAGCAATGCATATGACCTTATAAGATTTGACTTATGGGTTCCTTTGCTAGTAAAGGTAGAATTTTCCCTAGAGAATTTCCTAAGTGTTACCTGGGCTACTCCTTTGCTGAGAAAAGCCATCCAGCTTGAAGATCAACACATCTACTTGTTATGGCATGAGCTTTCTTGGGCTGTAGCTCACTTTATCAGATACATGGAGTATTATTCAAATTTTTAGGTATATCTACAAAAAGGTGTATATACAGTACACCTATATGGTTGTGTGAAATCAGAGGGGAAATCAATTACCTGCCGTGGTAATTATGATGGTTTAAATCCTATTGCTAGTTCCCACTACAATAGACTCACTAAGAATCGACTCAGCTACTGAATAGGGAATCCACACAATGTAAATCCCATTGATTTAAGAGGCCCACTCTAGCTTGAGTAGGAGTCTAGCCATTATTAGGACTCGCCCTCCACAAAGCTATTGTTCATACAGTGATTTATTGCAAGGTGAATAGCACCAGGATTGTCACTCGGTGGTTGTCTTTCAGCTCTCTGCCTTCACTCTGCTGAGATTGGTTGAAGGCTGTGAAAGGGAATTTGCTGGCTTTTGCCAGCTGCTGTGAATAGGTGGCTCTCCTTTAGAGCCATATGAAGTTTAGGCTGCATCTGAATCTAGCAGAAAAGGGATGTGGCAGGGGTGGAGGATGTGACATCCCATAGGTGTATTTGGACTCCACTTCCCATTTGCCTCCACTATTGGCTGTGCAAGTTAGATCTGATGAGAATTACACCCCTCCAACATCAAAAGAGAACATACTTCTGAGTCCATTGGTTACATTTATGTTTGTGTGTGAAAGAAACATTTTCCTTGTGGTTTTGGAGTGGAGACCCCAGTTGTATGGGGTGCAAAGTATATCCCATATACGCAGCAGTCTGTGACATGCGGTAGAAACAGTTCCTTTGACCTGCAAATATTTCTGGTGGTGAAGCCATTAGATAGATCCAGGAATGTTAGAGAAAACCAAGGACTTCTGGATTTTTAGAGAGAAAATTCTTTAATACTCCACAGATAAACTCTGGAATGTCTATCTTTTAAAAAAAGGTTAAACCTTCTTCTTGCACATATGACCCTTCATAAACTGAGCTGGGAAGAGTTTCTTGTTTGGCCAACACATCCCAGAATCCACAACCAATTAAAGTCCAAAAATGTAATGTTCCCCACTTTTCACCTGAAGTGTTCTTCCAAGTGTCACCTGTGTTCACAGAGTTCATTTGAAATTTTAACTCTGCTACTGAAGAAAATAGAAACTTTAAGTACAGTATATCTCTTTTTCATCATTCACAAATGCAAACACACAGCATTGACTTCCCTCATGATCTGCTGAGGCAAAGCACTATTATTTGCAGAGATCCCTGAGACGAAAAGGTCTTGTGGACGCTTACTCTAGAGTAGATGTGAAAAGGCTGAATGTCAGTTTGTGTTGTCTCCTGAGCTGCCTCCCATGGTCGTAGTGAGGATAAATGTCAGGACTTTTGGTCACAGTGTTGGTGCTAATGGGAGCTGGTAGTATTTAATATTATATTAAAATCAGATATTAAATATTATTATCTAACTTTTAATACCACATTAAATATCACTAGCTCCCATTAGCCCAGACATTGACCAAAGGTCAAGGATGACAGGAGTTGTTTAACAGCATCTGGAGAGCTGCATCTCCCTGAAGCCTCTAATCCAAACCAAATGAATGAGCCACTTTACACTTTTAGTTGAAGGTGGTCTTGGCTGTACCTAGAATCAGGCACCCCCTCCCCTCCCCTGCTCAAAAGCACTGCTTGTCTCCTTATGCTTGCTTAAGAAACGGGGGTCCTTTCTCCAGACAACCCACTGCAGTAGACAGAGAGCTTCCAACAGCCCGAGTGCTGTAGGAATGGAAATCTCTGAGGGTAATTCCTGAGCTCGGTTGGACTTACTTCCAGATAAAGACAGAGAGGGGCAAGGTTGTTTCCTGCCTTAGATGCTTTTGTATAAATATATATAGGCTGCAATAAAAAAACAACACACCCCAGCCAACACTATTAGTACTCCATGAATGCATATATTAGTTAAGGATTGGGGCTGGTGGCTGTTGTGTAGGAGATCAGAATAACGAGGCAAAAGATAAAATCCATTTTGGTGAGCAAACTGGGGAAGGCAGAAGAATCCGTACAGAGGCTCCCTGCAGAAACAAGCATAGTTCTAGTGAGTTAAATGAAAATTTTAAAGAAGCAGTTTAGGAGTTGTAGCCCAATGCATAGAAAAAACTAATGTACAGATTGCAACCTAGAGATATCTGGATTGTAGCTGATGCTTTTAAGGTCAAGGTGCTGAACAAATAGGTGGTAGGACAGCTGAAACATATTTTAGAGAACTTATAATGAAATTGGCCTGTTTAGTCTCCATAAATCTGCTGTGGACTCTCTACTTGTAAAGTTATAATAGTTAAGATGGAAATCACTAGAGGATATGGATGGATAACGATTTCCATATTAAACACTGAAACTGCATGTTTGTTTATGACTAGGATAAAATAAGTTCTTGTTTTCAGTTTCTTAGTCCTCTTGGAAGTTCACTCTGGAGACAGAAAGGCTATCTGAAATCAAATGGAGTTGCACGTAAACTAAAACGTTAAGCAAAAACAAACAATTTTTTTTAAACCTTCAGGTATTTGTGCCTAACCAGTGGGTGAATCCAGAATCCATGATGCCAAACAAGAGTTCTGCATCATGATGTCATTTTTACAGACACAGGAAAACACAGCAGGCAGGATCCAGTTGAAATCAAGCCCGCTTAAAGCCCACCCCTCCCGCTTTTAAAAGCACTTTTATTGAAGATCAAAGCTTTTTAAAAAGCGTTGTATTCCTTCCTGGGCATGTCTACTCAGAAGTGATCTCTGTTGAACTTAAGAGAACTAAACTCCCGCGAGGTTAGGACTGCGTAGTTCGTGTTGTCTGGATCGGGGCTGCTGGCGTTGCTTCCATGGTCTGCTAAAGGTAGGACTCCTGGGTTATGT